GAGAGGTACTTCCTGATTGTTGTTGACGACTTCTCGCGCTACACCACGGTCTTCCCCTTGCGCACCAAGGGTGACGTCCCTGATGTCTTGATCCCTTGGATCCGCAGATCTCGTCTCCAGCTCAGTGAGCGTTTCCGCTCCGACTTCCCTGTCCTGCGTCTACACTCTGACAGAGGTGGAGAGTTTTCCTCTGGCCTCTTGGAGGCCTTCTGTCAGCAGGAGGGCATTGAGCAGTCGTTCACGCTTCCGGCCTCTCCACAGCAGAATGGGGTTGCTGAGCGCCGCATTGGCTTGGTCATGGAGGTCGCTCGTACCTCCTTGGTTCATGCGGTTGCCCCCCACTTTCTGTGGCCGTTTGCGGTCCGATACGCTGCGCATCAGCTCAACCTCTGGCCCCGTGTCTCCTTACCGGAGACTTCTCCAACACTGCGTTGGACGGGAGAGGCTGGCGATGCGTCGCGTTTTCGGGTCTGGGGATCCCGAGCTTTTGTTCGCGACACGTCCGCGGACAAGCTCTCCCGTCGCGCTGTCCCCTGTGTCTTCCTTGGCTTTGTCCCGGACGCGCCTGGTTGGCAGTTCTACCACGCCACCTCGCGTCGTGTCCTGGCCTCTCAGGACGTCACTTTTGACGAGTTCGTCCCCTACTACCGCCTCTTCCCCTACCGCACTGCTCCGCTCCCCCCCCCCGCCTCTCTGCTGAGGTACCAGACCCCCTCCCCCCTCAGGGTGCCGCTCCCTCAGGTGTGTCCCAGGTAGACCCGGGTGAGCCTGTCGAGGTAGCTGTCGACTCTCGTCCTGCTAGGGGTGCTGAGCCTGGGGGTGCTGAGCCTGGGGTTGCTGCGTCTGGGGGTGCTGAGCGTGGGAGTGCTGAGTCTGGAGGTGCTGAGTCTGGGGGTGCTGAGTCTGGGGGTACTGAGCCTGAGCGTGCTACACCTGGAGGAGCCCTCTCCTCCCGGCAGCTGCAGGAGAGGTACCTACAGTACTGCCGCCTCCGGAGAGGTGCTACTGGAGCTCGTACCGGTACTTCCCCTCCTGCCCAGGAGCTCCCCCCCATTCAGCAGATCCGAGAGTGGTACACGCGGCGCTGCAGTCTTCGGAGTGGTGCTCCTGGTGCTGCGGACCCTGGGGGTGGCGCTGCTACTGGTGCTGAGGACCCGGGCGTTGGGGCTGCTGCTGGTGCTGAGGACCCGAGCGGTGGCGCTGCTGCTGGTGCTGAGGAACCGGGCGTTGGAGCTGCTGCTGGTGCTGCGGAGCCGAGCGGTGGCGCTGCTGCTGGTGCTGAGGACCCGGGCGTTGGAGCTACTGCTGGAGCTGAGGACCCGGACGGTGGAGCTACTGCTGGTGCTGAGGACCCGGACGTTGGAGCTGCTGCTGGTGCTGAGGACCCTGCCGCTGGTGTCTCTGCTGGTTCTGGAGACGCTGCGCGGCCGCGACCGTACTTCGTCCCACTTCTTCAGCAGGTTCTTGGTCAGGCTCCTCCTCCTTGTCCTCCTCCCTCCGTAGAGTGTCCTCCGCCTGTCCAGTTGCAGTCACAGTTCCCGCCTGCCTCGCCTCTCCCTGGTCCCTCTCCTTACACTGGTCCCACAGGAGGTCTTGCAGAGCGTCGTGAGCCTGCGTCTCGTCCTGCGTCGCCTGTTCGTACTGCTCGCACTGGTCGTCGTGTCCCACGTGAGCGTCCTCCTCCTGTCCCTGGCACTCACTACATGACTCTGCGTCCCTCCACTGCTCCTCAGCGTGTTCCGCTGCCGTCTCCTCCTGCGTCCTCTCTGCCTACTCTTCCTGATCCGGAGTCTGACTCCCGTCGTGCTGCCAGTCCCACTGTCACCCGTCTCCTCGCTACTGTTGTCTATGACCCTACCTTTGAGTCCTCTGCTGCGTCTGCTCTGGTCGCTGAGTTGATAGACTTTGCTGCCCGGTGTCGTCTAGACTACGCCGCTAGCCTTGTTGCTGAGTCTGAGTCTGTCTGTCCTCCGTCCGTCGGGGGTGAGTGTGCTCTTGGCACGGACGTCCTTGAGGACAGACAGGAGGAGTTCCAGTGCTTTGCTGCTGCTTTACCCCACCTCGTGTCCATGCTAGTTGCCCCTGAGGGAGACCTGGATGCACCAGACATCCCGACCCCGCGCACTTACGCTGAGGCGATGGCGGGTCCCTACTCCTCTCAGTGGCAGACAGCCATGGACGCAGAGATGGCTTCCTGGAAGTCCACAGGCACCTACGTCGACGAGGTTCCCCCACCTGGGGCGAACATCGTCAGTGGCATGTGGATTTTCAGGGTGAAGCGGCCGCCGGGTTCTCCTCCTGTCTTCAAGGCGCGCTACGTGGCTCGAGGCTTCAGTCAGCGAGAGGGAGTTGACTTCTTTCAGACCTTCTCCCCCACCCCGAAGATGACCACTCTTCGGGTGCTGCTGCACATAGCCGCTCAGCGCGACTACGAGCTTCACTCACTTGACTTCAGCACTGCTTTCTTGCAGGGCAGCCTGCACGAGGAGATCTGGCTGCGCCGCCCTCCTGGCTTCACTGGGTCGGTTCCTCCTGGTACCCAGTGGAGGCTCCAGCGGCCGGTCTACGGTCTCCGCCAGGCACCGCGTGAGTGGCACGACACACTGAGGACGACACTTGCGGCTCTTGGGTTCGCTCCCTCTACTGCTGACCCGTCGCTGTTTCTACGCACCGACACCTCGCTGCCGCCGTTCTACATCCTCGTGTACGTCGACGACTTGGTCTTTGCCACTGCTGACACTGCGGCACTCGCCCACGTGAAGTCGGAGCTGCAGAGGAGACACACGTGCACAGACCTGGGTGAACTGACAAGCTATCTTGGCTTGCGGATCACCCGGGACAGAGCACGGCGCACCATCACCTTGACTCAGTCACACATGGTGCAGCAGATCCTTCAGCGCTTCCGCTTCACGTACTCCTCGCCTCAGTCCACTCCTCTACCTACCGGTCACTCGCTCTCAGCTCTGCCTTCGGATGAGTCCGTAGAGCCGAGTGGCCCGTATCCAGAGCTTGTGGGCTGCCTCATGTACCTGATGACCTGCACTCGACCTGACCTTGCATACCCTCTTAGCATCCTTGCACGCTATGTCGCTCCTGGCCGTCACAGGAAGGAGCACATGGATGCCGCTAAGAGGGTGTTGCGCTACTTGTGCAGTACGTCGGGCATGGGGCTAGTGCTTGGAGGACGAGACCGAGTTGTACTTACTGGACACTCAGACGCTTCTTGGGCGGACGACCAGGCTACTCAGCGGTCGTCTCAGGGTTACACCTTCAGCCTTGGCTCCGGCTCAGTTTCTTGGCGTTCTACACGCTCTTCTTCTGTTCTCAGCTCCAGTTGTGAGGCTGAGATCTACGCCACAGCCATGGCTGCCCAGGAGCTACGCTGGCTGACCTACCTGCTGACCGACTTGGGAGAGCGGCCTCGTTCTCCTCCAGTGCTGTACGTCGACAACCAGGCTGCCATTGCCTTGTGTGAGGAGCACAGACTGGAGCACAGAACGAAGCACATCGCCCTGCGGTACTTCCTTGCTCGAGAGCTGCAGCAGCGTGGTCAGCTTCGTCTGCGTTACGTGGCCACAGAGGCCAACCTTGCTGATGTGTTCACCAAGGCGCTTCAGCCTTGTGACCATCAGCGTTTCTGTACTCTTCTGGGCCTTGTGCCTGCTGGACCTCACTTACTTACCTCTTGACTTTGCTTGTACTGTGATCTGTATATATATACCTGCATGTTTACACCTGCTAGGCTGTGATCACTGTATCTCTTGCTATATTATCAATCTGCATGTGAACTGGTCTTGTGACCACTTGCTTGTGCTCAGAATTTGTGTGGTATCCTTGAGATCCACCCTGAGCTTGTTTTGCTTTGCTTTGACTGGTCTTGTGACCCCTTGCTCTCCCCCACTTTGCCTATGGGGGTGTGTCAAACATTATATATATGTTGTGGTTGTTTAGGCTACAGTGGGTTAGCCTATAGGGGGTACACAATTCTAGGGTTAGGTACTTGTACTGATTTCACTGTTAGTTCAATCATTCCAGTCCGTTCATTCTGACAGACAGTAGCGTCAGTTGCGACCAAGATTATCCTCAAAGATCCGGCTTTGGTTCTCGTGTCAACGGTGGGCAACCGGGAGGAATGGGTCTGTTTGCTGGAGTGCTGCGAGAAGGGGAAAGGCTCGTCCTTCGAGCAGGCGGCTCACCATGCCCTTTCGCAGCGGCACCGTGGGGGTCTGACGAAGCCGGGTGCGGCTACGCGCGCGCTCAAGGACAAGCTGAGCCTTCGGGTGCTGAAGAAGGAGTTTGGGATGTAGCTTGTTACCTTGCACGGGAGGGAAGGAGTTGTAGTTTAGTCTCACGATGCTGTTGCTCCTCATTGTATGCATGGTTATATAGTGCTCACGTGTGGTTTTTCAGATTTCTCACCTCAGCCCGTGGATGCTATGGGGCTCCTGCACGGTTGTTTAATGGATAAACCCTGCAACTTATCAGTATGCGAGCTCAACGTGAATGGGCTCGGGAGCAGAGGGAAGCAGAGAAATTTAAGAACTTGGATCAGAAGAAGTGCTGACATTTTTGTGCTCACAGACACGCGCATTGCGCAAGACCATCGTTTTTGGAAGAACCTGAAATACCAACACTGTTTTGCCATCGGAAACGTGGAAAGAGCGGGGGGGGGGGGGGTGGCGATCATCAGCAATAATGCCCAACTCACCTTTGAAAATATTTTTATGCACGCGTCTGGCAGGCTGCTGCAAGCGAATGTCAGATGGGATACCTTCAGCTTCACACTGTTGGCGGCTTACTTTCCGTCGAGTGCCTGCTGTCGTCAGACTTTCTTCACGGATGTGTTGAAACCTTTCTTGGTCAACAACTTGGGGGGAAGGAGCCGTCTTCTCTTGGCTGGTGATCTTAACCTGATTGAGGATCCGGTGCTTGATAAATCCTCAGGCGCAGGCTCTTCAGGAGAGAATGATCGTCTGGTCCGAATGTTCAGTGGCCTTCACATGGTGGATGCGTATCGCGCGCTGAACCCGGGTGGTCAGGAACGCACTTTCTACTCCCGAGCGCAGAAATCAAGCTTGCGGATTGACCGTATATTGGTGTCGGCGGAGCTGCTCCCGTCAGTGGCTGAGGCGTCTCATCCCCGGCCTCTGAAGGGGATCTCGGACCACAAGTTCGGGGTCAAGGTGGTGTTGCAGGCGAATCTGCGTCTTCACATGGGTCCTGGCCTGTGGCGCATGCCTGCAGCTGACACAGCAAAGCCGGGAGCAGAGCGAGTGATTCAGGCGGTTACGGAGTGGCACCAGGCGAGTGGCTCCGGAAGTTTCGGTAACCTGCTAACCAAACTCAAACTGGCGCTGCGAAGATATACCACAGAGGAGCGGAAACGTATACGTGCAACACTGCGTCACCTGGAGGAGGCAGTGACGGTGCTGCAGCACGGAGTGATGCGTGATCCCAAGAATGATGCTCTGCGGACAGAGCTGGCGGCGAAAGAGGCCCAACTGGAAGCTTACCTGCGGGGGGAAAATGACAGACTGCAACTGCTGGCGGGGGAAAGAGAACTCGCTAAAGGGGAAATTGCGTCAAAGGTCCTCTCGGCGAAGGTGAAGATGAAGAAAGCGAAAACCTCAATTGCAGCACTGTCATATCAAGGGACGGAGCATAGTGGGACGAGGGGGATTTTGGAGGCTGCCTCGGACTTCTACACTTCGTTATTTGCAGGAGCGCCACCTTCAGGACTGCCGTGCTGGAAGCCGGAGCCTGGCAAAACACTGAGGGAGGAGGAGGCAGCCTGTTTGGAGGGGGCCTGGACGGAAAAGGAGGTATTGAAAGCGCTGAAGGACATAGCGAAGGACAAAGCTCCTGGAAGCGATGGGCTGCCTAAGGAGCTTTTCGAGCGCCATTGGGACCTGCTGAAAAAAGATTTTATGGGATTCATAAGGAACTTCGAGTCCACAGCAGCCTTATCAGTGGAGGTACAGGAGGCGGTAACGGTCCTGCTGCATAAAAAGGGCCCGAAAGAGCTGAAACAGAATTACAGACCGATTACTCTGCTCACCAGCTCCTACAAGGTGGTGGCGAGATTGCTGGCCAATCGGATGAGGAGCGTCCTGGACAGGGTCATTTCTAAAGAGCAGTGCGGCTTCCTCCCAGGCAGGCGGTTGTCAGACGCTGTGTCGCTGGTAGCGGACGTCATTGAGGCGGCGAAGAACAAGGACAAGGACTGGTATATCTTAATGGTGGATTTTCAGAAGGCGTTTTGACTCGGTCTCCCGCACGTACCCTGTTTGACACTTTGTCGCTCATGGGCTTCCCATAGAAGTTCGTCAGGTGGTGCAGGGGGCTCCATGACGGATCTTTCACGAGGCTGATGGTCAACGGGTGGCTGGGTGACCAGGTCGCGGTGGGCAAAGGTGTTCGCCAGGGGTGCCCGCTGGCGCCCTACCTCTTCCTTTGCGCGGTAGAGCCCATCTGCCAGGAAGCAAAGAGGAGGAAACTAGGGATCAGCAATGACTATGGGGAGAGGCTGGCCTACTTAGGCTATGCGGACGATACCACTCTGGTACTAAAAGGGAAGCAGCAGATTACCCGTTCTGGAGAGCTCCTGGAGGACTTCGGGGCTCGCTCGGGGCTCATGGTCAATAAGGAGAAATCGGCGATACTTCCCCTGGGGAAGAACCTGGAACGAATCAAAGACGACGGGTCAGCGTTTGCGTGGGTGGCTTCGAAGAATGCAGAAAGGCTGCTGGGGGTCTGGGTCTCACCTTCGGGAGGAGCGGAGGTTACGTGGGACAAGACGCTGGCCAGGGCGGCTGAGGAACTACTGAAATGGCAGTCTCACTATTTGACAACGACGGCACACGTGGCGGTGATTAACTGCTATGTGTGCCCGATCCTGGCGTTTCAGGGGCAAGTATATCCCCCCTCGGAGGCAGTCTGGAAGCGGATCATGAAACTGCTGGTCAACTTCATCTCCGGAAATCAGGCATCGGAGGAGCACCGTTTCACGCTCTGGAGCAGAGAGCTGATCTTCCGTCCGAGAAAGGAAGGGGGGCTGGGCGTTAGGGACCCCTTTGTGGAGCTCTCCGGTCTTGCAGCGAGGCGTGTTGCGACCCTTGTGCTCGAGAACGGTTTCCGGAAGGAGCTGGCGCTGGCGGCGGCTGACCTGCCTGAGGACTTCAGATCCTTCCTGGCGCATAAGGACTCCCTGAAACAATGGAAAGGGAGGAGCGTTAGATGGCGACAGACGTGTGAGCTGTTCATGAAATCAAAAGTCGCACTGCGGGAGCCGGAGTCGAGATGGGATATTGAGCAAGAACCGCTCGTCTTCAACCGTCACATCCTGCCGAACGGGAAGAAGCCGCTGGGGAAGCAGAAGGCGGCGCAAGGTCTGGAGCTGTACAGGCTGAAGGACTTCATCGCCACAGCAGGTGATGGGACGAGGTCCGTAAAAACCCTGGAGACCCTGACGAGGGAGATGGGCACAAAGAAGAAGGCACAAAGGGCATTAAATTTTTTCGGCTGCGTTCCGGAATCGTGGAAGGTGAAATTGCTCGCGCCACTCACCGAGGAGGAGCTGCTAGCGGTGTCGGAACACGTGAAGGTGGTAGGAGCCATTGGAGCCTGGAAGATTGACAAGGTGGAGCATGGAGGGCTAGTGTGCCGAGCATGCGACTACGCGGGGCTACCCCTGGAAGGAGGAGTGGAGAAGGTTGTCACGCTGAGCCTGCGCGGGGTGCAGCCGCTGATTGTTCTGAAAGGTCGAGTAGTCGGCACTGCTGGGCTGCCCGAAGTAAGACTGAGGGTTTCGGAGCTTTGCGCGGAGAACCAGATTCCCCCCTTCAAGCTGCTGCGGGACCTGTTTGAGGTGCAGAGGGGGGAGGCACGTCAACATGCAAAATGGGAAGAGGAATGGGGTGGAAAGGTGGATTGGGCCAGCATCATCAAGGTCCGGGACTCCCCAGTCCTGCCGAACCGGGCGCGGGATGTCCTGCTCCGGCTGCACTGCCGCAATCTCCAGGTGGGGGTGCGGTTGCGTTTCTTGGAGGGTGTGCTATGTCCGCACTGCGGCGGAGAGGAAACGGCGGACCACTGTTTGTTCAGCTGCCCCCGCATCCAGCCAGTGGTACGGGGACTTTTGAAGGCGCTGAAGATGCTCAACCCCGGCAGAGAGATAAAGTCTTTGGGGGAATTGTTGTTCCAAAAAGAGGGTACACGGTCCAGTTTCCCAGAAGCTACCATCACTGCTATTGCTCTACACAAACTATGGGTGGAGAGGTGTGACGCAGCCTTTGACCGTGGTCAATTTCGATCCAGACGGGTCCTGAGGAGGATAGCAACGGCTTTCTTCACACACGCGAGGGTCTACTTGAGGACAAAGAGGAAAGGGAATCGAGCGGGGGGTGCAGAGGGTCTTGGCCAGCGCTCAATCCTGGAGCCGCTGGACCTGGACGAATTCCGGTCGATGGGGAGAATTTGTGACAGCACAGCTAAGTCGCTTGTGTGGGTGCATGGTTTCACTTCCATCTGGGCAAACCCGCGCACGATCCACCGTCCCCCCTAAAGGGTCGAGATGGGTACGGCAGCATAGAGCTGTCTAGGCCCATCAGCCACAGTTACGACTGTCAATGTTTGTACAGATTGCTTAGCGCAGTGGTTCTCGAGGAAGTTAGGAAGCGAAAGGTCTAGGGTTCGAAACAAAGGATGTTCTTAACTAACTTTAACTACACCATTCCTATTTGACTTCAGGTATGCTTAGAGCAGAACTGAATGATTTTTTACATGTACATCGCAATAATTGGATCAACCATTTCACCATTTCATCACATCATTCAAGACACGAAAGAATTAAAATTGGCGTTTGAAAGATTGTGTGGACACAATAACTGACGGATCTTTCACGAGGCTGCTGGTCAACGGGTGGCTGGGTGACCAGGTCGCGGTGGGCAAAGGTGTTCGCCAGGGGTGCCCGCTGGCGCCCTACCTCTTCCTTTGCGCGGTAGAGCCCATCTGCCAGGAAGCAAAGAGGAGGAAACTAGGGATCAGCAATGACTATGGGGAGAGGCTAGCCTACTTAGGCTATGCGGACGATACCACTCTGGTACTAAAAGGGAAGCAGCAGATTACCCGTTCTGGAGAGCTCCTGGAGGACTTCGGGGCTCGCTCGGGGCTCATGGTCAATAAGGAGAAATCGGCGATACTTCCCCTGGGGAAGAACCTGGAACGAATCAAAGACGACGGGTCAGCGTTTGCGTGGGTGGCTTCGAAGAATGCAGAAAGGCTGCTGGGGGTCTGGGTCTCACCTTCGGGAGGAGCGGAGGTTACGTGGGACAAGACGCTGGCCAGGGCGGCTGAGGAACTACTGAAATGGCAGTCTCACTATTTGACAACGACGGCGCACGTGGCGGTGATTAACTGCTATGTGTGCCCGATCCTGGCGTTTCAGGGGCAAGTATATCCCCCCTCGGAGGCAGTCTGGAAGCGGATCATGAAACTGCTGGTCAACTTCATCTCCGGAAATCAGGCATCGGAGGAGCACCGTTTCACGCTCTGGAGCAGAGAGCTGATCTTCCGTCCGAGAAAGGAAGGGGGGCTGGGCGTTAGGGACCCCTTTGTGGAGCTCTCCGGTCTTGCAGCGAGGCGTGTTGCGACCCTTGTGCTCGAGAACGGTTTCCGGAAGGAGCTGGCGCTGGCGGCGGCTGACCTGCCTGAGGACTTCAGATCCTTCCTGGCGCATAAGGACTCCCTGAAACAATGGAAAGGGAGGAGCGTTAGATGGCGACAGACGTGTGAGCTGTTCATGAAATCAAAAGTCGCACTGCGGGAGCCGGAGTCGAGATGGGATATTGAGCAAGAACCGCTCGTCTTCAACCGTCACATCCTGCCGAACGGGAAGAAGCCGCTGGGGAAGCAGAAGGCGGCGCAAGGTCTGGAGCTGTACAGGCTGAAGGACTTCATCGCCACAGCAGGTGATGGGACGAGGTCCGTAAAAACCCTGGAGACCCTGACGAGGGAGATGGGCACAAAGAAGAAGGCACAAAGGGCATTAATTTTTTTTCGGCTGCGTTCCGGAATCGTGGAAGGTGAAATTGCTCGCGCCACTCACCGAGGAGAAGCTGCTAGCGGTGTCGGAACACGTGAAGGTGGTAGGAGCCATTGGAGCCTGGAAGATTGACAAGGTGGAGCATGGAGGGCTAGTGTGCCGAGCATGCGACTACGCGGGGCTACCCCTGGAAGGAGGAGTGGAGAAGGTTGTCACGCTGAGCCTGCGCGGGGTGCAGCCGCTGATTGTTCGGAAAGGTCGAGTAGTCGGCACTGCTGGGCTGCCCGAAGTAAGACTGAGGGTTTCGGAGCTTTGCGCGGAGAACCAGATTCCCCCCTTCAAGCTGCTGCGGGACCTGTTTGAGGTGCAGAGGGGGGAGGCACGTCAACATGCAAAATGGGAAGAGGAATGGGGTGGAAAGGTGGATTGGGCCAGCATCATCAAGGTCCGGGACTCCCCAGTCCTGCCGAACCGGGCGCGGGATGTCCTGCTCCGGCTGCACTGCCGCAATCTCCAGGTGGGGGTGCGGTTGCGTTTCTTGGAGGGTGTGCTATGTCCGCACTGCGGCGGAGAGGAAACGGCGGACCACTGTTTGTTCAGCTGCCCCCGCATCCAGCCAGTGGTACGGGGACTTCTGAAGGCGCTGAAGATGCTCAACCCCGGCAGAGAGATAAAGTCTTTGGGGGATTTGTTGTTCCAAAAAGAGGGTACACGGTCCAGTTTCCCAGAAGCTACCATCACTGCTATTGCTCTACACAAACTATGGGTGGAGAGGTGTGACGCAGCCTTTGACCGTGGTCAATTTCGATCCAGACGGGTCCTGAGGAGGATAGCAACGGCTTTCTTCACACACGCGAGGGTCTACTTGAGGACAAAGAGGAAAGGGAATCGAGCGGGGGGTGCAGAGGGTCTTGGCCAGCGCTCAATCCTGGAGCCGCTGGACCTGGACGAATTCCGGTCGATGGGGAGAATTTGTGACAGCACAGCTAAGTCGCTTGTGTGGGTGCATGGTTTCACTTCCATCTGGGCAAACCCGCGCACGATCCACCGTCCCCCCTAAAGGGTCGAGATGGGTACGGCAGCATAGAGCTGTCTAGGCCCATCAGCCACAGTTACGACTGTCAATGTTTGTACAGATTGCTTAGCGCAGTGGTTCTCGAGGAAGTTAGGAAGCGAAAGGTCTAGGGTTCGAAACAAAGGATGTTCTTAACTAACTTTAACTACACCATTCCTATTTGACTTCAGGTATGCTTAGAGCAGAACTGAATGATTTTTTACATGTACATCGCAATAATTGGATCAACCATTTCACCATTTCATCACATCATTCAAGACACGAAAGAATTAAAATTGGCGTTTGAAAGATTGTGTGGACACAATAACTGACGGATCTTTCACGAGGCTGCTGGTCAACGGGTGGCTGGGTGACCAGGTCGCGGTGGGCAAAGGTGTTCGCCAGGGGTGCCCGCTGGCGCCCTACCTCTTCCTTTGCGCGGTAGAGCCCATCTGCCAGGAAGCAAAGAGGAGGAAACTAGGGATCAGCAATGACTATGGGGAGAGGCTAGCCTACTTAGGCTATGCGGACGATACCACTCTGGTACTAAAAGGGAAGCAGCAGATTACCCGTTCTGGAGAGCTCCTGGAGGACTTCGGGGCTCGCTCGGGGCTCATGGTCAATAAGGAGAAATCGGCGATACTTCCCCTGGGGAAGAACCTGGAACGAATCAAAGACGACGGGTCAGCGTTTGCGTGGGTGGCTTCGAAGAATGCAGAAAGGCTGCTGGGGGTCTGGGTCTCACCTTCGGGAGGAGCGGAGGTTACGTGGGACAAGACGCTGGCCAGGGCGGCTGAGGAACTACTGAAATGGCAGTCTCACTATTTGACAACGACGGCGCACGTGGCGGTGATTAACTGCTATGTGTGCCCGATCCTGGCGTTTCAGGGGCAAGTATATCCCCCCTCGGAGGCAGTCTGGAAGCGGATCATGAAACTGCTGGTCAACTTCATCTCCGGAAATCAGGCATCGGAGGAGCACCGTTTCACGCTCTGGAGCAGAGAGCTGATCTTCCGTCCGAGAAAGGAAGGGGGGCTGGGCGTTAGGGACCCCTTTGTGGAGCTCTCCGGTCTTGCAGCGAGGCGTGTTGCGACCCTTGTGCTCGAGAACGGTTTCCGGAAGGAGCTGGCGCTGGCGGCGGCTGACCTGCCTGAGGACTTCAGATCCTTCCTGGCGCATAAGGACTCCCTGAAACAATGGAAAGGGAGGAGCGTTAGATGGCGACAGACGTGTGAGCTGTTCATGAAATCAAAAGTCGCACTGCGGGAGCCGGAGTCGAGATGGGATATTGAGCAAGAACCGCTCGTCTTCAACCGTCACATCCTGCCGAACGGGAAGAAGCCGCTGGGGAAGCAGAAGGCGGCGCAAGGTCTGGAGCTGTACAGGCTGAAGGACTTCATCGCCACAGCAGGTGATGGGACGAGGTCCGTAAAAACCCTGGAGACCCTGACGAGGGAGATGGGCACAAAGAAGAAGGCACAAAGGGCATTAAATTTTTTCGGCTGCGTTCCGGAATCGTGGAAGGTGAAATTGCTCGCGCCACTCACCGAGGAGGAGCTGCTAGCGGTGTCGGAACACGTGAAGGTGGTAGGAGCCATTGGAGCCTGGAAGATTGACAAGGTGGAGCATGGAGGGCTAGTGTGCCGAGCATGCGACTACGCGGGGCTACCCCTGGAAGGAGGAGTGGAGAAGGTTGTCACGCTGAGCCTGCGCGGGGTGCAGCCGCTGATTGTTCGGAAAGGTCGAGTAGTCGGCACTGCTGGGCTGCCCGAAGTAAGACTGAGGGTTTCGGAGCTTTGCGCGGAGAACCAGATTCCCCCCTTCAAGCTGCTGCGGGACCTGTTTGAGGTGCAGAGGGGGGAGGCACGTCAACATGCAAAATGGGAAGAGGAATGGGGTGGAAAGGTGGATTGGGCCAGCATCATCAAGGTCCGGGACTCCCCAGTCCTGCCGAACCGGGCGTGGGATGTCCTGCTCCGGCTGCACTGCCGCAATCTCCAGGTGGGGGTGCGGTTGCGTTTCTTGGAGGGTGTGCTATGTCCGCACTGCGGCGGAGAGGAAACGGCGGACCACTGTTTGTTCAGCTGCCCCCGCATCCAGCCAGTGGTACGGGGACTTCTGAAGGCGCTGAAGATGCTCAACCCCGGCAGAGAGATAAAGTCTTTGGGGGATTTGTTGTTCCAAAAAGAGGGTACACGGTCCAGTTTCCCAGAAGCTACCATCACTGCTATTGCTCTACACAAACTATGGGTGGAGAGGTGTGACGCAGCCTTTGACCGTGGTCAATTTCGATCCAGACAGGTCCTGAGGAGGATAGCAACGGCTTTCTTCACACACGCGAGGGTCTACTTGAGGACAAAGAGGAAAGGGAATCGAGCGGGGGGTGCAGAGGGTCTTGGCCAGCGCTCAATCCTGGAGCCGCTGGACCTGGACGAATTCCGGTCGATGGGGAGAATTTGTGACAGCACAGCTAAGTCGCTTGTGTGGGTGCATGGTTTCACTTCCATCTGGGCAAACCCGCGCACGATCCACCGTCCCCCCTAAAGGGTCGAGATGGGTACGGCAGCATAGAGCTGTCTAGGCCCATCAGCCACAGTTACGACTGTCAATGTTTGTATGCGCTCTATAGTGTATATAACATTAAAAAAAAAAAAAAAACAAGAGGCGACTAAATCGTCTTAGGGTTGCGGAGCATTTTTGGTTGATGTGCTGGTAGTTGTATTGTTCATTATAATATACTCACTACAGTTATTGTGTCCACACAATCTTTCAAACGCCAATTTTAATTCTTTCGTGTCTTGAATGATGTGATGAAATGGTGAAATGGTTGATCCAATTATTGCGATGTACATGTAAAAAATCATTCAGTTCTGCTCTAAGCATACCTGAAGTCAAATAGGAATGGTGTAGTTAAAGTTAGTTAAGAACATCCTTTGTTTCGAACCCTAGACCTTTCGCTTCCTAACTTCCTCGAGAACCACTGCGCTAAGCAATCTGTACAAACATCGTACATTAAAATATATCGAGTTTAAAAGCGACGAAATAGAAATCTACTTAGGGTTTCATTTGCTCCTTTCGTTCTCTGCTGTCCTCCCGCAACAACTCCTCTTCCCGCTGCTCTTGCTGGTGTTCTCCCACAACTCAACTCCCTGGAGTCCAGCTTCTTAGGTGAGCCATCTAAATACTAGAGTAGTTTTTGTTAGGTGATTTAGGGAATAGATCTTAGTGAAAGAGCCCCGTAATTGGTCGTTTCTTAAGTGTTTGAAGCAAAGTTACACTAACGTTTTCTCTGCGGAGAGGCACCCTACAACGGGCGCGAACTACGAAGGAGGGCACGGAGTTGTGTGGGTGATCGTAGCGCTCTAGTAGCGTTCTAACAGAGTTCGTACTACTTGCTCTGTTCACAGAGAGATTTGGCAAGAGTTTCCACTAAGGAAATTGAAAGTACATTGAGAAATTGAGAATTAGAGTACAAGAATGAGCATGCAAAGTGATATCTCTGGAATGGCATTGCAATCCCTAGCAAGCATTCTGCAAGGCGAATTGCCAGCACTGCATCAGAACGGTTCGCCAACGCTGAAACAGAGCGGTCTGCCAGCGTAGCAGAAGGGCGACATGCCAGCGCTGCAGCAGGGCGGCCTGCCAGCGCTGCATTCGCAGGTGAATATCTGCGCAGGTGTGCACCTGCCGAGTAGGTGCAGGTAGACGGTTACACCGTCAGAGACATTGCGCAGGTGCCAGGTAGAAAACGCTCCGACGGTTTCATCAGATGTCCACCGTCGAGCACGTGATGCCATTTCGGAGGTCGAATTTCGCTAAGGACCACCTGAGCGAATTTCGCATGCCCTCGCAGAGTTTCGTCGTCGCGCGAATTCGGCCGACCAGTTCGCCGAGCTGACGCTCGCCGAACAGCGCCCTTCGATCAGAGAACGCGGCTCCTCGGACAGCACCCCGTCCGTCAGAGATCGCGCGACCCAGAAGCAAATCAGAAGACGAGCTCGTCGAACAGCACCCCGTCGACCAGAGCTCGTTGACGGGCTGGTGAATCAGAGGACAACCTTCCTCGAAAACCACCCGCGGTTTCAGAGGACGGGCTGCTCCAATGCGACGATCACTTCGTCGAATTCACCACGTCGTCGCAGAGAATGCCTACGCCCAAGCGAGGGCGGGGCCTTTCACTCCGACACTCCCCTGCCCAGCTCACGCTTGGGCCCCCACACACAAGGTCCACCCAGAACCTAAGTAATAGAATACAAGGGGACGTTTCTCTGGCGTGCATACTCCCGCACGCCGATCACCGCACCAGCCATGTTAGAGGACATGGCACCTACTGCTGCACGTCGTCGTCGTCTCCGACTTCGGCAAGGCGAACCTGGCCGACCGCGACAGAGCACCGGTTGAAGGCCGGAAAGTGCAGCCCTTTCGTGAGGAAGTCCGCCGGCTGCTCGGATGTCGGGATGTATTCCAGCGCAATCTTCTTGCGCTTCACCATCTGCTGCAGCCAAGCATAACGTCGCTCCATGTGCTTGAGGTTGCCCTTCAGCCCCAAGCCTTCAGCGACCGCGATGGCGGACTGGTTGTCCACGTTCAGAACAGTTGGTGTCCCAGCATCGAGGAGCTGGAACTCGGCGAGGAGGAATCGAAGTCGACGGGCCTCCTTGCCTGCTTCGGTGGCCGCGATGTACTCCGACTCTGTGGAGGACAGAGTCACGCACTTGATGCGTTGGCTCGTCCAAGAGACAGCTGCGCCGCCGAAGGTGAAAACGTAGCCACTTGTGCTAGTGCGATTCTGCTTGTCGCCGGCGTCGTCCGCGCCTGCGTAGCCGACCAGTTTCAGAGTTTCGGGTCCTCCTCCGAACTCCAGAGCAAAATCGCGCGTGTCAGAGAGGTAGTTGAGGCAGCGATCGACCTCGCGCCAGTGCTGATCGCTCCTCACCGTCAGACCAGACCCCAACTTGCTACACGCGAAAGCAATGTCGGGTCGAGTTGTCGTGGCAGCGAACTGCAGAGAACCGACCTTCTGACGGTACTCCTCCTCTTCGCGCGACTGGAAGTCCTCGTCGTCGAAAGTCAGCTCCGCGTACGCGTCGACCGAAACAGGCGTCTTCGGACGCCGACCAGTCTGCTCCTCGTCGATGAAGCGCCTACGCAGCTTGTCGACGTAGGACTGCTGGTGCAGCCACAGCTTCCGCGCCGGACGGTCGCGCACGATTTCGAGCCCCAAATACTTCTCGACCGGGGTGATCTCGCGCAGCTCAAATGCAGCTTCTAGCAGCTCCTTCAGCTCCTTCAGCATCGCGGTGCTGCTGCTGGCGGCGAGCAGGTCATCGACGTAGACGAGCACCCAGCACGCCACTCCGTCGTCGCCAACTCTGAAATAGAGAGCCTCGTCAACCTGGCTCTTGCTCCAGCCAGCGCCCGTCAGAACAGCGTCGAGCGCCGAGTACCACAACAAAGGACTCTGCTTCAGCCCGTACAAACTCTTCAGCAGCTTGCATACGCGGCCAGTTCCGTCGTTGTAGTAAGCCGGCTGGTCCATGTAGAGCACGCGGTCAAGCTTGCTCTGCAGAAACGCATCCTTCATGTCTAACTGCATGAGGTGCAGGTCGAGGACGGCCACAATGCTGAGGAAAATTCGCAGCGTGACGTAGCTCCCGACCGGTGCATACGTCTCCTCGTAATCAGCTCCGTAGACCTGCGTAAAGCCCTTGACCACCAGGCGGGCTTTTTCGCGAGCGACCGTGTCATCGATATGATACTTCGTCGTCAGAACCCAGCGGTTCTTCATGACATTGACGCCGCGCGGACGCTCGACCAGCTCCCATGTGCCGTTGGTGATTAGACTTCGAATCTCCTCGTCCATCGCCGCTTTCACCGCCTTGCCCTTCCAACTCGCTAACGCCTCCTTCACTGTCATGTTAGCGATGTCCCAGCGATGCTCTGGGTCGGCGTGCATATCAGGGTCGAGCTCTGGAACGTTGACGTCGAACTGCGCATCATCGAGCAGAGTGCTGTAGGAGGTCGGCGGCAGGCAAGCATGGTAGCTCAGCTTCTCGCGAGGCTTGCCAAAGTTAGAGCGGGTGGAACGTCGAACTGCGGGCTTGTCGGCAGAGACTTCCACCACGTCGCTGTCGCTGGACTGCTCCCCGGCTGACAGCTCCCCTTCATCGCCGCCGATGACTTCAACAACGTCGCTCGAGGTGCCTTCATCGAACTGCTCCCCTGTCGTCCGCTCCTCTGAATCGAGCTCCTCGTTCGACGGCTCCCCTGTCGGCGGCTCCTCTGAAGCGAGCTCCTCATTCGACGGCTCCCCTGTCGGCAGCTCCTCTGAAACGCGCTTCCCGTTCGACGTCGGCGGCTTCTCTGAAACGCGCTCCCTGTTCGCCGGCTCCCCTGTCGGTGGCTTCTCTGAAACGCGCTTCCCATTCGATGTCGGCGGCTTCTCTGAAACGGGCTCCCTGTTCGCCAGCTCCCCTGTCGGCGGCTTCTCTGAAACGCGCTTCCCGTTCGACGTCTCCTTTGTCGGCGGAGACTTCACTCCGACGCCGACTTGCTCGCTGACCAGATCACGTCGACCGCCAGCGATGCCAATGGGCGGATCCGAAGGTGACGCACCAATGCTCCCCTCATCGCTGGCGGCCGACGTGGATGCCGACTTAGGCAAGCCGGCGGCGAGCGATGGGAAGGAGGTGGGGAGAGGTGGAGGAGCGTTCGAGGAGGGCGGAATGGAGGGAGCGGGATCATCTGAAGGACCATCGTCCTCGGATTCGAGCAACGAAATCGCCGCTGGCGATGGACCCGTCGGCAGAGAAATCTTCGTCCGCTCTGACGCCGGCCCGTGCTCCGC